TGGTATCTCTATCGTATGTACACGCATTAGGTTTCGAGATATAACAGATTTGGGCCCGTAGTAAACCCCCCATCAGGGCATCTCTCTCGACGCGGCCGGCGTTGATCTCATCACGCCTCAGTCTAGCATCCGGCGAGCCATTGGTCTGGATGCGGATCGCTTCCGAGGCATTACAATCGAGTGCGTTCTTGAAAAAAGAACCACTTGAGCTGGTTTGGTCAAACGGGTAAGCGACTGGAATTACACGCGCGCGGCCGTGGTTCGACTCCGACTAGCGGCACACCTTTTGATGCATCGCCGGGCAATCTTTGATAGCGGCCACTATGGCAATCGATGATGATAGCTATCAAGGACTTCGCCAAGCAAATACACGGATAAAACAAAAAACACAATTTGTGACGAAAATTTCATGAAAAAACGAAATGATAGTAGCGCGCATTCAATGAAATGAATAAATGAGTTCTCGTCTTATACAGCCAGTGAGAAAAAAATCAGTAAGATTTACAAAAAAGAGAAGAATTTGTTTTTTTTTTGTTTTCCTCGCCAAAATCAGCTGTTCATCGATCCTCTACTTTTCGGGCGCGGTTGTGCAGTTTCGCGCCGATTTTTTCTGCATTTTTTGGCAAAGGTGTGTATCGTAAGTTACTCAGGAGCAACTTATGTTAGATGCAGTCAACTCTTGTCTGCGTCTCCTCTTTTACACGCTAATTGCATTCCTCTAACATCCGTTCACGTTCAGTTCAACTCAACGTGAACGGATGTGGAACAGTTGACTGCAGCAAATGGACAGATGGCCAACTATCAGTTGACTTGACCATCTTACAGCATGGGAAGGTGGACGGTCATCAGTTCACCTCACCTAAGCTTAACTGATGGGATAAGTTGAGTTCACCTCAACTGATCAAGCTTTTCTACGGGCCTTGGTCTGAAAATGTTGGAGAACTTTTGAGCCAACCTAATAAATTCAATATATTCCAAAAACTAGGGCTTGTAAAGGTCCGAAGATACTATTCTACTCTTGAATGCTTGATGTATACATAGTGTAGTGTAGTGTAGTGTAGTGTAGTATTTATGTGGAAACAACACACGGCTTTAGCGGAAGCATGTAAAGTTGGTCGTATCAAGGGAGTGAGATCTGTAGGAATCTGTATTCTCAAAGAGAACTCGAACTTTTCTTAGTTTTTGTGCATTCAGAGTTTCTTAGAGTTTCACTTCAAACTTAAGGTGGTTGAATGTTTATTGCAAACTTTACAAGCCTTGTTGTAGAGCTTGCTTTGTTTTGGTTAGGAAATTTGTAACGAGATGTAACAACCTACGCAAACTCAATTTTTGGAATTTTGGTTTTAGAAGAACAAGCGTCCTTACACAACCGAGAAGGAGCTGCTTGAAGACATGGATTCGAAACTGTAGGCTGAAAAAATTCGAAAAATGTCGGTTAAGCACGTTACCTAGAAATCTCGGCATAACTTTCAAGTCATTTAACGGAAAGAAGCTTTCCTTTGTAATTCACACAAACGAAAAAAAGAAGGAGGGCCCAATAGAAATTATGGAGTGAGTGTCTCATAGTTGTTTTCTTCTTTAATTATTTTAAAACAACAATAACAGGAGCATGTTAGAGAATTGGAAGTTTGCAAGGTAGGTTTCTATCATTCACACCAAGCGCAGTAGGTAAAACAGGCTTATGTCAGTTCTTACATCTTCTTCCAGATCAAGTAATATAGCACTGGTTCAAATGTGTCTCTTAATCGTCGCAAATAATAAAGTAAGGCAATCACTCAGACAGGAGCGGACCGGTTGAGGCCTTAAATCTACACCGGGAAACTACACCCACCTGGGTGTTCGCACCTCCCGCGCTCCTTTCGGAGAATGTTTGCTACAGTGAATTGAGGTTCCTCAGGGCCGCATGAGTTAACGGTCGCCGCTCGCTTACTGCATTTTAGAGTTATTGCATCAAGGACAGCGGTTAGCCCGCGTTACAGCGGTTGACCGAGGTCTTCTTTTGTTACGGCGCTATCGCAGGCCTGCCCGAGTGACCTACCCGCGCCTAGTGTAGTGAGTTAGCGACCACGACTCGTCCGCTCACAATGTCTAAGTACACAACACAAGTTACTCACATAATTCCTGAATTAAACCATTGCAGAGTTTTGATAGCGGTTTCGATTACATTCCTGCAGAAATGCAGATTGAGCAATGTCCTAGAATTGCAATGATGTTCAGAGTCATTCAATCATGTGAGCTGTGTTATTTACTTATAGTTAATGCATTACATGTACTCTAAATATGATAGCTGTAGTTCAGAAACAACAAAATTAAAAAGAATTATAAATAAATAGTCTGAGTTCGATGAAAGTGCCTGAGAAATAGCACCGCAGTAGCAAAGTTGTACTCAAGTCGTTTGCAACTATTAGGTTGTTCTAAAAAAATCCTTGATGAATAAAGCGTTATTGTTTTCTCAGCAGATTTGGCGTATTTTTTGATAGAGCAAAGCAATCTTTACAAAGTGACCGTCAAAGTCCAGCCTAGGTCAAAATGCAGGTAAAGTTTAAGGCGAAAATCAAAAAAAATTTCACCTAAAAATTTGATTTTTGCGGAAAAAAAATCCTACGGACCTGGTTATCATGAGTGGACACATTGTAGTACTCAAAAATGCCTTTGCTGGAATTTTTTTGCTTGAAAAGCAAGAAAATAAAGTTACTCTAAAATGGCAAACTCCACCCCGAGCCCGTCTCAAATATGTCTTTGTATACTGCATATCTTAGTAAATGTTACTTTGAAATTTTACCTATGCACCTTGGTAATCAAAAAATACCACATTATACATTAAAAAACTGGAAAAATGTGACATTTTTGCATTTGGGTGCCTCAATTTCTCGATTTTGAGCCCCAAGAGCCGAGAAGAATTTTCACATTTTGAAGTCATAACTAAAGACTATTTTGACGTAAATTCTGTCGAAAATAATAATAATAATAATAATAATAATAATAATAATAATAATACTTGCTTAATAATAATAATAATAATAATAATAACAATAATAATAATAATAATAATTGCCTCAGTGATTTGAAAGCTTCGAATCACTGAGGCGCACCTTCACACAGCTGGAACTAGTATCTATCTTGCTAAACAAGGAAGAAGTCATAAAACCATTTGCAACAGCTATACAAGCTACCCAAATGTAAGTCCAAGAAGCGCGCGCGATAAATTTGTAGAAATCTGGCAAGTTGCCAAATCGCGTGAAAGTGGCGATTTGGCCGAATTGCGCAAGGAATGCCTTAGACCTTAGAAAAGAATTTCAACTTAGCGATATGGTCGCGTCGCCCTTTTGATCTCAGCGACGCGATCGCAGAGATTTAGCCAAGTCATTCGCGACCATTCCAACGAAGGAAGTGTGCCCGACGAAAACGGCAGCCATTAGTAGCGCGGGAAACTATGACAACCAAATGATAGAATGATCGGCACCAATGATTTTGTAAAAGTTTCCCTGCAGGAATGGCGATGAGATCGCATGATGTATGCTCGGCCCTCAAGGAAAAACTCGCATTTTCCCCGCAATCTGACATGTTCAAAAGTCTTTATATTCACTACTGGAACGCTATAAAAACCCCAAAACTATAAAATGTTAAACATAATGTCCATTAAGTTTCTCAGGCAACAACACGTAACATGCCAAATTCTCTTTTATTGCATTCATATGCGCTGTTGAAGCAAAACTTATGTCTTTTGAGACAAGGTATTTAGAGGTTCAAAAAGGCGGTTAGATCATACCTCAAACTCAAATTTCTCAAGGCCCTTGTACTTCTGGGGTACAGACTCGTCAACGCTTGAAGGCAGCGCTGTGGCAAAATTGAAACCTCAAATGACATTGTCAGATAGAGGCCCCCAACTAAGCCGAAATAGCAGGTCCGCTCTGAAAATGTGGACTCTGAAAGCCAGGTGGGCAGGCAAAGAGACGTTCCCCTCCTTCCACCTTTCGCTCCCCTGACACCTGTATTGTGACGAGCTTACAGGTTACAGTTCCACTTTTTACGTTGCACCTGGAAAATATCACCGTCTGTGATACATGTTTTCACGTTGCACTTCAACAAATTAGCATTGAAACACTCGTTCGCTTTTGAAAAACCGTTTCCGTAACGAGAGTTCTCGGAAAGCTCACGCAATTTTTAATTCGGATTTAAAATAAAGGACGTCGAAAGGGTCAAGAACGTTGAAAGCATAGAAGTCGAGATTTTGCTTGGACGCTGCCTTCATTGACTAAAGTTGACTAAAATCGTATATCGCAACATCGTTGCTGTTTTGTTACAAGTATACTTTCGCTTGATTTTTAAAGCTTTGAAATATTAGGTTGGCACATAAGTTTTGCAACTTTTCCCGTAACTTTTTTCCTATTCTATGTAGCAATCTCATTTTGTGATATCATGTAGAACGTGATGTAGGCTACAAGTCTGCGCAAACCGTTTGATTTTTGATAACGTAGTACAAGAAATCTAAGCATTTTTGAAAACTGCTGAAAATCGAGGTTTCACGATTTTTTGGCAAACATGAAGCCCTACGAAACCTGATTCAAACATATGAAAAAGCAAGTATAGGCAGCATGTAGTTGGAAGTTGGCACATTGGAATTAGTAAATTACTTATGCACTACTTATGTGCCAACCTAATACTATGTTGAAAAAGAAAAAACAACTTAATCCAGTGTAATTCAGACCTTGGTACAGTACTTTATCCCATCCTGGTGTTTACTACACTCACAAACGCCTCAGAAGAAGAAAATGGAATAAAGGTTATGATCATCACTGCGATATGTCTAACGTGATGTTTGCAGGAATTTCTCGTAGTCATGGGACTGAGAAGAGAAACACTTGCTCTGTCAAGTGTTATCTTTGCATTTTTCAAAGCAGCCTTTGCTGTAGCTGTCGCTGGAGTCCCAATCTGGAATTTGCATGTAACTTTTTTAGTTCCTTATTGATGCAAAATGTTTAGATAAGTTCAGCAAAGTGTCACGCTTGATGTGATATTCCCAACGCTATTGCTTTGCATCGGTGCAGTTGCGTTGGGATTGCTATGCTCAAGAGTGGTGAAATCGACAACTGCTGCCCTGATAGGTTTTACGAAATTCAAATCAGCTTTCGAAGTCTGATTATATTTAGTGTCTTGCATGGTCGTCATGGTGTTATTTGTAGTAAACTTTGCCATTTCCTTCACGAACTATAGAAAAGGCCTTTTTTATTACATCTGCCTGCTTAGTATCTTTTCAGCATATCACAAATGCATATTCGCCATTCAGCTCTCTTATAAAAGAGGTAAGCATTACGTCGTATCGCGACTTTAGAAAGGTAGCTAATCTATCAAGCGCTTTTTTTGCGTTAGGTTAAACAAGAGAAATGTCATAATCAAAATGATCTTTCCAATGTTTTCGAACATTTTGAAAGAATTATAATGCTTGCTTCAGATCTGTTTTTCATCCGCACGCGCCTCCACGCTAAAATATGAGTGGTTTTGGCCAAAATTGCAGTCTTTAGAATAGAATAAAGTATTAATTTTTTCGCTGCTCGAATAAAGCAATGTTGAGTCTGACAGAGGTGACTAAAGGAGAGGGGAGTGCTGATTTTATGAAAATTTTGAAAATTATTTTCATGGATTTGTGGAAGCGAAAACTGTGGAAGCGACTAGTATGTTTGAAGGATGCGCCAAAATTAACGTCGCGTGTTTTCTTTGGTGTCAGAATTTTAGTAAACGGAATTGAGAACCGATCAAGTGTGCATTTGCACCAACCATCATTAGTGGTTAGTGCAAATGCACACTAAGGCAATAGTAAAATTGCCTTACGACAATGATGGTGGGTGCAAAACGGCAAAATCAGAATTTGGCGGCTTTATCTTTCAAAAAAATTCCTTTCGCCATTTGAAGTGGTCTTTGTGCGCGAGTTGTCTTTGAGAAAGAACGCATTTCAACAATTCTTGCTCCTTCTTTGTAAGGAGCGCCGGAAATAAAGCAAGCCTTTGTTTTTAATACTGCTAAGTACGAAAATTTGAAAACATTCGAAGAAGATTTTAGGTTTTTAAGAATATGGTTGAGAGGCAGCGTACCGAAAATTGGTGTAATTTCGAAATGATTTCTTCCTGAATGCGCTTTGGGAATTGAAAATGTCTTCTAAATCAGATTCAAAACCATTAGTTCTAATTGGTAATGATAAACACTCTTCTACGTGTCTTATAAATACAGGACTATTTTTTATCTGAAAAGCTTTGCATGTCTGGATCCTCACAATCGATTTTGAACATAAGGTTATTGCTTGCACGCAAGTATTTTTCGCGAATACATTTGCTTATTTTAATGAGACTAAGCTTGCGTGATAGTGCGAATTGTGCTCTACAACCTCAGTTTGAAAAGTTCTAAAAAAGCTTTGAGTTTCAATTACAGAGCAAATTTTAAAAGTATAAGAATTTCTTTTTTTGAAGTCTCTGGTCTAATTTTTCTTTTCTCACGTTGCTGAAAAGAGGTCATTTTGATTTTCGTAATATTAGGTTGGTGCAAAAATAATGAGCGTTTTCCCATTTTTCACTTTAACTTGCTATAACTTTCTACAAAATCTACATTTTGAAATGTGATAAAGATCATCAGGTGCAGCGAACCTTCCGCAGTACAGCGCACATTGACCTTCACTCATATCTCATATGGGCAGAAAAATATGGATTGACAAACAAAAAGAGTTTTTTTCTGAAGCTTTGTTTTTGACAGGACATAACTCCTTTCACACTTTGTTCTTATGATTAATAAGCAACCTATCTTGTAACCGCAAGCCAGTAGTACAGATAAACATGGAAACAGCTTGGAGAAAAAAGATTAGCTGAGAGGGAAAAATCGAAATTCAAAAATATCAACTTTTTTAGCATTTTTTCGTAGGCCTCAAAACCCCGAAATAGAGAATTTTTTAATTTTCTGCGTACTGAAAAGCTGGATGTTTTTGCAAAAACCGCTAATGAAACTCCTACCCTCACGCTTATAGAGATGAGCAAAGTTTGAGCGACTGCATTTTACAAAAGAAAGTTATGGGCTTTAAAATGACCACCCATTACCCATGTTAAGCCGCCGATATCTCACTTTAGTTAACTTGAAAAAACATGGTTGAATATGCATAATGTAGATAATTTCCATTACATATAACAGCTAAATTTTCGATAAACCATCTTCATTTGCGCTCAAATTCTAGCCAGAAAAATGAATGCAACAAAAATCTAATTTTAAGTGCGATTATGTGAAGCTCTATAAATTCTTAACAGAGTGGGCTAGAAGTTCCTTTCGAACACAATCAGATAGAGCATAAAAAGAGCTTTCTAACAATGTGCTGAAACTGTTAAAAAGAAAGACGTTTGATGGAGGAAAGTTATCCTGAAAAAAGTCCTAGTAAAACGCTCATTATTTTTGCACCAACCTAATATTAGGCTGGAAACTAAGTTTTGCAACTCGCTTCATAACTTCACTCTCATTCAACATGGCGCACTCATTTGGCATTATGTAGAAGGCAATGTGAGCTACAAGTGAGCACAGATTGTCTAAATTTTGAATACGAAATAGAAAAGTTTCAGGCGTTTTTCGAAAACTAGTGAAATTCGAAAATTTTTGGGGTTTTAAGCTAAAATGAAGCCTTTGGCTGCCTAGACCATGCGCAGTAATTCGGATTCGTCTGTGAATTATTGCTGGATGTTGACTCTTTTGGCCTAGTAAGAAAGAAACAAAATTTAGTGCATCTCGAGATTTGGCGTCCTCATAAAGTCGAACGAGTCGATGTACGCAAGAGCTGCTGGGGACGACCGTCAATGACTAAAGAGTCCGAAGCTCAAATTCCGCCGAGACTTTACATAGTAAGGTTATTTGACCTGCCAAACGCGAATATCACATTCATTTGTTGAATCAAGGCCTTTTCCCTTGTTTAGGGTGAGACCCCACATCGTACACCCACAGTAATCCTACAAAAAAGTCCTTATCACGCAATTTCACTATCGTTTTCGTGATCAGCATGTCGGATAACACTCCTATGCCAAGTTTCAGCCAAATCCGTCAAACTTTGAATTTTTCCCCTTGATACCATGCACCTACCGTGACCCTCACTGGGACATCAGAATTTGGTAGGACAGCAGCTGCGCTTATAGCTTACGTAATAACCAATGCAGTGGCAAAATTTAAGTGCGCCATGTGGAGTGAGAGGGAAGTTATGAGACCAGTTGCAAAACTTAGTTTCCAACCTAATAGTATTAGGTTGGCTCGAAAGTTCTGGGACATTTTCGAACTAGATCTGCTATTTCTCCAAATCTAATGCATATACATCAGTTTGAGGTACCATTCGATAGAACACAAGCTCTACAAAACTGTATGCGAAAGTTCGCACCAGTTTCAATCCACCATGAGTTTGCATTCAAAATCTGAGTCGTACTGAAGTTCAAAAAATCGCGAAAAATTCATGTCTTTGTTCATACAAATCCTACGGATCTCTAACTTGTTCACAAAAATTGCACACCACATCAGACACTCATATGCACCGTTCATGTATTTTTTCCTCATCTGAAAATAGAGAAAACGAAAATTTTCGTACTTTTATATAAACGAAGCTGTACTGTTTTCACCCATGCGATTGAATAGTACAAGCCCTTAGGCGTATAACCGTAAATTTTCAGCTTTCCGTAAGCCGTAGTTGTCGAAAAAAATTGATTTTAGCATGGAACGCCCAAGTGAGAAGAGCTCAATTCGGTTATTTCCGGAAACTAGAACCTACAGAAAGCTGAAAATTTACGGTTATACTTCTAAGGGCTTGTATCATTCAATAACATATAATATGAATAAAAACAGCACAGCTTCGTTTTTATATAAGTACGAAAATTTTTGTTTTCTAGATTTTCAGATGAGGAAGAAATACAGGAACGGCGCATATGAGTGTATGATGTAGTGTGCAATTTTTGTGAGCAAGTTAGAGATTCGTAGGATTTGTTTGAACAAAGATGTGAATTTTTCGCGATTTTTTGAACTTCAGTACGACTCAGATTTTGGGTGCAAACTTACGGTGGATTGAAGATGGTGCGAAGTTTTGCCTACCGTCTTGTAGAGCTTGCTTTGCTATATCGAATGGTACCTCAACCTGATGTATATGCATTAGGTTTCAAGAAATAGCAGATCTAGTTTGAAAATGTCCCAGAACTTTCGAGCCAACCTAATACTTTCAGAAAGTGATTAGCGCCTTTCATGACACAAATTTAAGCTTTATTTCTCAGTGGTTTCTTCGTGGCAGTGTTTGTAGAGTTGACGAAGTAATTTCGGCGCCTCCTGTCCCTGTATACTTGCAGCTTCGACGAATTGTGTCGCCTTATTGGATACTCTTCCCAACAAAGATCAGGGGGCAATGGCTGTGCCATCGCTGTGTCAAAGGCCTTCTTCGACAAAGGTTAAAACGAAAAGCAAAGGATATTCTTAAGGTAGACTTCCATGACCCTCGAAATAGTTTATGTGGTCTATTTAGCTGGATCCAGCTTGTTTTTGATGCTGGGCTTCATGCAGGTGCTTTTGACACGTGAGCGAGGATAACTTTGGTGAAAAGATTGTACTGCAGTCAGTAGGCATCTTGAACGGTGTTTTAAGATCCCGTTTGCCCTTCTTAAAAAGTAAGACGGTTCTCGAGATTCTTTACTGATCAGAGATCTTTTCCTTTAGAGAATAAGATAGATGCGCCCTGATGATTTCGTGTAGGCATTCCTTTAGTCTAGGAAGGTTCGACTGCAAGATGATTTGGTTCCGGAGCCGTAGTTTCTATGTTTTGAATCGCTAAGCACTTCAGCAGAATTCTTGGTAGTACTTATCTTGAAGGACAGCGGGCATTAGCACTTTTATTAGAGAGCGAAGAATTTGATGTAGAGGTCTTTGCTGTAAGTTCCATCTTATATCGGGAAGAAGTCAGAGTCGCGTCTTTATTCAAAGTGCAGCCAGCGGCACCTAATTATTCAGTAAGGTTTCTTTAGTTCGGCGCTTTTGAAGCTTTGTTTTCCTTTGGCTGATTTCAATATCTTAGCTTGCTTGTACTTCCTAGGATCCTCCTACAAAACTGTTCTGCAACTGGCGTTGGCTATCAGTTGGATGAGATGAGTTGCGTTCAGATTTTGCCTCAAGAATCTTCTTCACTCGAAGAATTTATTGGTGTTCTTCGAAATGCGTTCCAATTTTTTCTCGCAAACTAAGACGCACTCCTCGCAGACTCGCAATGCTTTCAAAGCCTGTCGTAATAGTGCGTTGGGACTGGCCAGTTCAGCTTGATTGTCCCATCTCTCCTCGATGGGCAAGTCAAGTTGATATAACTCCTTTCATCTGTTACCGTCATGAAAAACTTTCTTCCTTTCTTCTTGCGGCAAAGCGGCAAACCTTCTTTTCTAGTTTTCTACTCGAACGTAGAAAACAGTGATCGGAACCATTGCAGAAGGATGAAATTATTGAGACTTTTGAGCAAACTCCACTTTTTGTCAACTTCCCAATCCTCAGTCCTTCTGATGACATCCAAATTTTGCGTTCAAGCCGCTAACAGCAAACGTGTAGAAGGACATCATTGCGGACGAAATCCATCATGTTTGCATAGACAGCATTTGGCTTTGATTCGTCAGATGGGAGGTATAGTTATAGGATGGCTAGCCAGTGATAGGATCCTATGCCAATCGGCAAGATAGATGACACCAGGAACGATGAGGGTATTATCACTCATGCGTCGCACGTCCTTCTTTCGACCAAGTTTTCGCAGAGCGATGACGTGATTTAAAGTGCTCTGTAGTGTCGAAAAGAGCGTAGGTCGGCGTTTGTGAAGACTGTCTTGGCGCTCCAGGTGCGAGACACTAGGGAGATCCTGTGGCCTGCCAACCTTCTTCTTTTGTTTTTACTGAACGGCTATAAGATTTTGTGCAGACAAGAAAATAATCACAGACTGCTTCTTCTCCACAGCGCGATGCCTACGCAGGTATGCTTTTAGTGATGACCACCAGCAAAGCTCAGATATGGCCAGACCGCGGATTTCGGCAAGACCAGCTCTTAGCTGCGCATGGATCGAAGCTGTAAAGCAGACATGCGATAGTGGGAGCCGATTCTCCCCTTACCTTCACTTTTGAGCTAGTACAGGGTGACCACCTTTACTTTTGGGTTTTGAAAATTTTACTGAATGAAAAAAAAGAAAATAAATAAAACAAATGCAAAAGAGATCAATGAAAGCATATTTCTATGTGTACAACGGCATAAATATCCGAAATAAACGTGCTTATTAAATGATGCATTTGGGAGTAAAATTCAGCGGAACTGCAGGGATTTTATTGAGTAAGAGTAGGTCGATCTAGAGAGTAACCGCCAAGAAGCAAAATTTTGAATGATTAAATAGTGAAAATTCATGTGAAATTTCTACTGTTATAAATTTGGACTTTTGTTATAAATTTGGAGTTTGAGAATGTCAGCAGCTGCGTTTTATAGGTTTTCAAGAGTACGTACATCTCTATTACACAGTGAAAAAATCAAGTCGATTCGAGAGATTGTCGAATACCAGAATTCTAGAAAATTACGCCATTTTAGCTTGTTTAGTGACAGTTGACAGTTAAGCTCATATAAATCTTGAATGTGAAGGTGTGTGATGTTGCAACTTCATAAGTTTTGTAGAGTAAGATTTGCTTATCAGAACGTGTCGTAACCGTACCGATTCGATCAAAAACCGCCGAAAGCCAAACTCTTGAAAAAGCAAGTAAAAAAGCGCTTCTCAACATTTAACAGCTCACAATTTCTTGCACCTCTGCTCAAATTTAAACTTTTTTTGCAGCTTGGGAGGTCTTGACAAAGTGTACATTTAGCTTAAATTGATGTTCGACGCCCACTGTCATCCTCACGCTATATTGAGGCAGCAGGCCATAGTTGGGGTTTGGATTACGAGTTCATATCCTGCAGCCTCAACGTGGCGTGAGATCGACACTGGGAGTCTCTGGGGTTGGATTCGCTATTAATTTCTTCGGAATGCAAGGCTAAGTTTACGCCTCTTTAATTTAGAAAAAATCGCTTTCCTCCCCAAAAAACCTGCGTTTGCCACTGAAGCCTTAGTATGTCAGACAATTTCCGCTGCTTCAACCAAGGACCATTCAAACAATTCTGGATCATTTTTTCTAGTTGTACTTTCATTTTATATCTAATGAACATCTATAATTTGGCTTGAGGAACTGGTAAGTAAAAAAACAGGATTAGAATCATTCTTAAAAGGTCTTCAAAATATAGTGCACTAACTGGCTTATCCGGCTCCGTCCGACCCTATCAAAACACTATATTAATGTTCTGCTCCCTTTCCTGTACAACCTTTCTTTGTGTCCACTTCTACATGCAATTCCCTGTTCTCGCTGTGTTAGTAATCAGTATGCACACTTACCACCCTGCCTCCCAGTTCCGTAGCTTAAACTTTGCAAAAAAATCAATAAAATCGTTAAAAATAAAGGATAATTCTGAAAACTAATATTGTATCCAAATTTCCATGCTCGATTGCCCCCTGCGTCCCAGCCCCGTAGCACAAACTTTGCAAAAAAAATCGATGAAATCGATATGGAGCGATAACGAAAAGTAGCCTATGGCACCCGCCGTGGCCGGAAGTGTATGTGTGCAAAGTTTGTTCCGGATCGGTTCAGAAATGTAATTTTCTATTCGGAACATACGTACAGACAGACAGACAGACGCACAAACAGACATTCAGCTTTATATATAAAATTTGAGAAAACTTTTTTTATGAACAGTTGACTTTGACTAATTGGGTTCCGGACATAAGAGCAAAAACTTCTGTTATTTCTCCTTGTGATTACAGGCGGGTTGCGCAAATTCGGAACTTTTTCTTCTTCTTTATCCTCGCCATTGTACCGCAGGCGTAGGGTCAGCTTGCATTTTTATTTCCATTTGATTCGATTAGCCGCTTGTTGCGTGTGAGCGGTTGTGGATCTAAACGAAGTGCTGTTTTTGCTGCTGTATTATTGTCACGTAAACCGTATAGAATTTCACTCCACGCATTTTATCTTCAACAGGAGCGACTCCGAGAATGTGCCGCACTCGGTGTTCGTTACACAGTTTCTTCGCGTACGGCCAAGTATCCATCTTATCATGCGCGTCTCCATCCTGCTTAGGATCTGCTCGTGGTTTTTTATAGCTGGCCAACACTCTGTTCCGTACATAACTACTGGTCGTACTGCTGTGCGAAATATTTTAATTCAAGATACACTGGAATTCTACGAGTGTAGAGTACTTTCGTTACTTGACTTTACATGGGAACCGATATGTTAGAAAGTGACTTTCTCAGTGGTAATCCGTCGATGCGATCATTTCGTCTGTTTGCGTCCCACATTCTAAGCACTTAGTCTTTCCGACGTTCAGTCGTAAACCATACTCTGACAGACGCGTCTTCCATCTCTTCAAGTTATTGCCTCAATCCACTTGCTAGCTTGACGTCATACGCGTAGAGAAGCGTCCACGGGTGCGGCAGTTGGATGTCTTTCGTCAAGGTGTCATGCACAATATGGACAGCAAAGGTGATAACGCCGCTCCTTCATACATTCTTATTAGAATTGGTGACGATGTTCCTGCTGCACAGCGTACGGCTCCCGTCGTGTTCGTGTAAAACATTCGATCCAGCGGATGTACTCTTCTAAGACGCGTGTTGTCGCAGTGCCCTGATCAACTCGTGTGGTATTCGATCAAACGCCTTTTTTGAATCCAAGAGGAACGCGATGCGAATTGGAATTTGCCTTTCCTAATGGCGTTTCATTAGTAGCCAAAGGTGAACTGCGTTCATGGTACCAAACCTTTTTGGAAGCCGCTTTGATTTGGAGTGACTTCCACAATATCCCGGATACGCGTGTGAATTACTCGTTCAAAAATCTTTATCGTATGACATAAGAATCGTATCAGTCTGTATATTGAACAGTCACTGACGTCGCCCTAGTTCTCTTGATTATAAATTGTAAAATTTGCACCAGATCCGTGGTGCTTTTCCCTCGGCGATAATTCGATTGAAAAGTGTGAGAAACTACACTCTATGTTGTCCCGTCATCTTATATATAAAGCTGAATGTCTGTTTGTCTGTCTGTATGTATGTATGCATGTATGTATGTATGTGTTTATGTATGTATGTATGTCTGTACGTATGTTCCGAGTAGAAAATTCCATTTCTGAACCGATTTGGACCAAACTTGACACACATACACTTCCGGTCACGGCGGGCGCCATAGGCTACTTTTCGTCATCGATCGATATCGATTTTATCAATTTTTTTTGCAAAGTTTGTGCTACGGGCTGGGAGTTGGCGCAGGGGGTTAATCGAGCATGGGGATTCCGAATACTATATTACTTTTCAAAATCGTCTACTACTTTTATCGATTTTATGATCTTTTGCAAAGTTCAAGCTACGGGACTGGGAGTTGGCACAGTGGGGGCAACTGAGAATGCTGATTACGAATGTAGTAGCTGTTTGTGAGAATCTCATAAATAAAGCTGAATGTCTTTTTGTCTGTATGTCTGTATGTATGTACGTTTGTTCCAAATAGAAAATTCCATTTCTGAACCAATCCGGACCAAACTTGGCACACATACACCTCGGGCCCCGGCGGGTGTCATAGGATACTTTTCGTCATCGATCGATATCGTTTATCGATTTTTTGTAGGGTTTGACCTGCGGGGCTGGGAGTTGGCACAGGGGGGATAGCGAGCATGCTGATTACGAGTACAATATTAGTTTGGCGCTATTCGGCTATACGGGCCCCAAAAAAATTTTGTCGTGGAGCTTGCTCAAACTTCGTGTATAAGAGTTATCTTACGTGCTGATTACAGATATCACACTTTCTCCGCAGCACGTCTTTCCTTGTGGTTACGATAGGTGTACGGTAGGAAGTCAAAATCATGTATTCGGCTGGAGTTCGGTCCAGAAAAAACTTATTCGACACTAGCTGGCTTACCCGGCTCCGCCGGCCCTGTCAAAACACTGTAATAAAGGCCCCAATCCTACCCCTGTACAGCCTTCCCTGTGGCCTCTTCTACACTTCATTTCCCGTTTTTGTGTTATTTTCGAAATTAGCATGCCCACTTACCCCGTGTGGCAACTCCCAGCCCTTCAGCTCAAATTTAAAAAAATTGATAAATTCAACAAAAGTAGTAGGTAATACCAAAAATTGATATTGATTTCGTAATCAGCATGCTCGATAACCCCCTGTGTCAACTCCCAGCTTTGTAGCCCAAACGTTGCGAGAAAATCGATAAAATCGATAAAAGTAATCGATAATTTTGGAAGCTAATATTGTATTCGGAATCCCCATGCTCACTTACCCCTCCCCTATGCCAACTCTCAGGCCCGTAGGTGAACTCTGCAAAAAATCGATAAAGATCGATAAAATTGATATCGATCGATGACGAAAAGTAGCCTTTGACATCCGCCCGGCCCTGAAGTGTATGTGTGCCAAGTTTGGTCCGGATCGGATCAGAAATTTTCTATTCGGATAAGTACACACATACATACAGACATACAGACAAACAGACATTCAGCTTTATATATAAGATGCTGATTACGAATTTCATACTCTCTCTCCCTCTCTCTTTCTGCATATTGAGACCTTTTCATAGAGTTATGTTGTTATACGGTATGGGGTCGAAAACACAGATTTGTAAACTTCGTCTAGGGTGATCATTTAGCGCGCTGAACATGAATATCATGCTGATTTCGCAGGATGGTGCATTTTCATGGGTTACGGTGGGTGTAGATGGGTCTAAGTTCCAGATTTGCTCAAGACCTTACCTGTAACGGTCCACAAGTTCACTGCTTATGAATATGATGCTTGGTCGCTGTCACAACGCATTATTGTGAAGTTATGGTGAGTTGCAGGGTTTGAATGGATATTTTTTTTCTGTTTTCGAGCCAATTTAGATCCCAGATATGCACGAAATGGGAAACAGTCGTTTAGCATGACGGTCTCCAGCGCCATCCTGATAACCTGTCCCAACGTGTAACGCACGCGGCAATCCTCGCGTTTTTGCTCAGGCAACAGCCGCAGAAGGGTGTATCGCGAGCGGCAGTGGTCCTATAAGGAAAGCGTTACGGTCGTGGGAAACTTTTATACCACACAAATTGCCATATCGTGGGGATTAAACACTATATTCTTGAGACAGCACTTTAGCCCTGCCAAGGTTTCAGGCAGGTTCATGATACCCACTGCCACGCGAGATGACTACGATATTTGTCATCAGCGGCTCAAATAACCCCCATACACCGAGTTTGAGCAAGATCCATCACAAAAACATTTTGGGGCCCGGATAGCCAAATAGCGCCATCAGTTTTTAGAATTACCCTTTCTTATATCGATTTTATCGATTTTTTGCAAAGTTTGAGCTACGGGGCTGGGGCTGTTGAGGGAGGTAGGTAGGTGAGCATGCTGATTACTAACACAGCGGGAATAGTGAATTGGCATGTAGGCGTGGGAACAGGGAAAGGTTGTACTCGGATAGGAATGAGAGCACTTTAGGGTAATTCCCTGCCAAGTTTCAAGCAGGTTCATGA